AAGAAGAAGAAGAAGAAGAAGAAGAAGAAGAAGAAGAAGAAGAAGAAACAACAACATTTTTGTTGTCATTCATCTTGTAAAATAGAACTCTGGGTGGCTCCCAACAATAATACAATTGCAAACAAGACAAAATAACAAAAGAAAAACAACTCTGGTGCTTAATCCATTATCTTCATTAATTCATCTATGTTCTCCCCAAATTCCAACCTTACTATCTCAATGCTTGGGGAATGTAGCACCCTATAGCAACTTGCACTAAGTTACTTGTTTTCAGATGCAATAGACTATTACCCTTGCCATGGTCAATGTTATAACTAATTATTCAGTTATTCAGGCCAGGTATATTTGCAACCGAATATCATTCCAGAAACTCAATTCCACATCTAGGAAGTAAATAGCAGCAGAAGCTTCTTGCGTTCAACACCACTAGATTCATTGCTTTCTTGAAGCCAGGAATCTAGATGGAAGATCTGCTGAGTGCAAAACATGGGAGCCAAGTCTTAGATATTTGTCTAGGTTTTTTCTTCCATTCATTTAAGTCAATGGAATTTTGGTTGTTTGATGCTTAGGTGGTGGAGCCATCTATTAAAAGAGGGCAAGAGAGGGCATTTCTTCCAAGTTAAATTCCAGGAGGAAAAAAAAAATGAGGAAATGGACTTTGAAAGTGCAGATGGAAGGACAGGTCCAAGGGAGGTTTAGAACCCAAACTTGGCACTACCTCTTCCTTCAAAAGGAGCCAGATTAAGAATATTTGGATATGCTTGAATTGAAGGAATGTAGTAAATTTGTAAAAATAAGTAAATCTGTTAAAATGTATGTTATATTATTAAATAAATCTATTTGTTCCTTGGTCTCTGGGCTAACCAAAGGTCTTTATCTTTTCCATGTTCTACCCAGTTATGTAGCTTTACAGACTTAGGGAATTTTCACACTAATAAAAGAAATTAGTGATGGTGGCAGCAGAAGAAAGAATAATAATAATTTAAAAAAACACAGGCCATTTTACTTTCAACCTCAAAAATTGGGGACATCTAATCAAACAATTTAGTCTGGAGTGAAAAATTATTACTTTCTCAATTGCTATCTTCAGCCATTGCTGTGTTAGAGTGACAAGTTTGAGAATGGTGTTTCTATTGGGTGGACTATTGTTGGTATTTGAAATAAGATCCAGAACTTGTGCTACCAGGTGTTGGCATCTTGCCAAGGCACTTAGCACTACAAAGAGGTGTGATCTACCTTGCTTAGCAAATCAACATAAAATGTTTTAGGAGGAGCCACTAGGAAACAAGGCAACTGGTAAAATGAAGGGCTTTTTTTTTCATCTCTCAACTCCACCCTAGATACTGTGATTGGAGTGACAGTCTTTACAATTTCAGTGAGTAAGTCTTTAACATTTCAATGAGTAATTCATCTGAAAAGATAAAATGATCAACATAAACATCAAAAATTACCTATGCTATATATTGAAAACAACAAATATAAATTCCAGTAAAGTATGCAAACTATCTTTCCAACATAATGATGTTCAAACTGTCTGGTCCTTAGAATCACTCTGATTTAAGAGCAAATGTTCTTACTTTTTTTCTACAGATGTTCTATCCTAAATTTGGACAGGGCTACTGGCACACTGGAGAAAGAGACTGGGACCAGCTAGAATTATGTGAAGATACGGATTTGTAATGGATGAATTCAAATGTGACTGTTTCACTTGCTGTTTCCAAACTTTCAAAAATCTGTTCTGCTTTAGCTTCACTGGATAAAAATACTACTTCACGTCTATGACTGTATCTGGTTTTCTCTTATGGCTGCTTAGAATCCACAACTGATCTTACATGTGATATATGGTACGTGTGTGTGTATGAGTCTGGTTTACTTCTATCAGCCTAACTATGAAGGTTTTAGTTGGATTCCATTTATTGCTTATTCCAGTCAAATAGCTGTATCCTCCTTATCTTGAGTAATCCAGATTTTATCCAAGCAATTGAATGAATTGATTGCACTTGTCTTCAATCTTCTGAATAGATTTATTATTTTTTATAAAAACAGTGAAGGCAAATTACAAAACAAAGGGAATCCTGTGTTATCTCCCTCATGGGCAAAATCATTCTACTTAGTTCAATATATAAAATTATTCCCAGTTTTATCTAAAGAATGACACAAGATATTTTTGAAGAATGTCAAAAACAAGGTATTTTTCCATAGAACTATTTATTATGTGACATTACAGTAATGTGTACTGTAACTGTAATGAGATGCTAGTGTTTAATAATTAAGTTCAACTACCAACAGTAAAGGAAATACACTGAACAGTGAAGAAATACACTGCAGACTAGCACCCAATACAGCACCCATGAAGGCCCTGGAAAAGATATTCAAATGCCATGACGTATTTAGATCAGAACTGTGAAAGTCATCACTGTAACACGGCATGGAAGAAAAAGTCAGAATATAGGATTGACATTTTTGAACTTGGTACTGGAGAAGACCCAACTCTCTGGAAAAGGCTGTCATGATGCCAAAGATGAAAGAAATAAAGAAAAGAGGACTGCAGCAACATGGATAAACTGTTACAGTTGCAATGAACACACCACTGGAAGACATGAAAACCCAGATTAGGAATACGAGCATATTGGGAGAAATCTATTTTATGTGGTTACTAGGAGTTCAAAAAATAACTCGATGGCACATCATCAGTCAACCAAAAAAGTTTAGTCTTGCGTGGATAAGTCCTAGAGAACTAAATTACTACTGTTTAATAATATGGAAGGACTGTCTGCTCATTATGCTTTTTTTTTCCTGTAAAGAAAACAACAACAAAAAAGCTACTTCCCAATGATTTGCTAATTTCTAAATCGGTTTTACTTTAAAAAAAAAAACTTACTTTCCAACTTTTACTTTGATTCTTGCTTTAACCCAAAGCAAACAACAAGAACCTGCCAAATGGCTGCAGTGGATTCCTCAGTGGGAAGGCGGAGTAAAAAGAAGCCGAGGTACTACATTTCCTTAAACCGTAGCTGTTGCCAAGACAATCAGGCAAAAAAAAAGGACAGGGAGGGGCACGATCCTTGAGTCCGGCGAGCAGCGTTTCCTCTCTCTCTTTCTCTCTCTGTTTCCCGCCCCTCTTTAGCAGGTGGCCAGTTTAAAATCTCAGCGCACCTTCGTTGACTTTCCAGTCGAGCGCGCTGCCCCGGAGTATCCGCCAGCCTCTCTCGGCCTCCAAAGCCCACGATGCCGGCTTCGTCCCAGGGCAAGTGGGGCTCTACCGCCGCGCGTTTCCTCCTGGCGGTATGGAAGGGGAAGGGATGGGGGGAGGCGGGGAGGGAATCGGGGAGCAGATCCTGATGCTGGAGCCCCATGATGGGCAGTTTGCCCGCCGCAGCTGCTTGTGTTCTGGGCAGCACCAGCCAGGGGGGGTTCCCTTGTGGAACACGCGAGACTCTGGACTGAGAACCCCCTTTTCCAGGCAAAGTCTCGGCTAGCTGCAGGTGGCTTCCCTTCTTTCACTTTGTGCGCTGTTGACCTTGGCAACCTGGGATGAGAGTCTGTAGAGATTCTTAGTCATTCAGGAGGCAACTGGACTTCCTTTTTCTTTTGAAGACTTTTAGCTATACAATTTTGGGATGAATACCCTTTGAAAGGTGTGGGAATAGGAATGGATTTCCAGAGGAAAAATTGCAGACTACAGGAACCAGGAGCACCACTCATGTGACCCTGAGGACACAAATAAACCTCCAAGTGCTTCAACAACCCTCTAAAAGAACGAAAATGACCAGCTGTCTGCAAGGAATATAAATCCTTCCATTCCCCACCATCCTGTCAGAGCTGAAGAAACTTCTTGGAGGAGAAGAGAAACTTCCTCAAAAGAAAAAAAAACCAAGAAAATCCAGTTGCCTCCTGAAAAAACGCCTTTGGGACTGGAATATGCCTGGTGTGTGTGTGTGTGTGTGTGTGTGTGTGTGTGTGTGTTTGTGTTGTCCACTTCTTAAAAACTTCCAGTGTTGGAACAACTTCTGGAGGCAAGTTGTTCCACTGATTAATTGTTCTAACTGTCAGGAAATTCCTCCTTAATTCTAAATTGGTTTTCTCCTTGATTAGTTTCCACCCATTGCTTCTTGTCTTGCCTTCAGGTGCTTTGGAGAATAGCTTGACTCCCTCTTCTTTGTGGCAACCCCTAAGATATCAGAACACTGCTATCATGTCACCCCTAGTCCTTCTTTTCATCAGACTAGCCACACCCAGTTCTGCAACCGTTCTTTATACTGTATGTTTTTATGTTTTATGTATATATGTTTTAGCCTGCAGTCTCCTAATCATCTTTGTTGCTCTTCTCTTCACTCTTTCTAGAATCTCAACATCTTTATTACATCATAAAATATCAAAGGGTAAACTTAATGAATAAACCAAACAAAAGAGAAAGAAATTAAGATATCAGATATTATCAGATATTAACTGATAAACAAGTAAAACGAACTAAAGATAATGTATTTTATATTCTCATTTTTATGTTGGTCACCTCAAGTTAATATACAAAACCAATGTTTCTGTCTCCTGTCTTCCCCATCAGAAACATCCTATGAGGTGAGCTGGGTTGAGTACATCCCATTCATATTTTCTTCTAAGACTGATTAGATGGCTGAATCTTCTGCTGCAAAAAAAATCTAATTGGAGAGCATGATTGATGACTTGGCTATGGACGTTTTTTTCCTTGGATGATACACCCAGAGGGGTGGGGGGAAAACCAGGATAAAGGGTGACAGTGAATTACGTATCTCAGAGTTGGCTATGCCCAGATTAGCACCCGATGTAGAATGTTACCTTCAAATAAATCCTCTTTGGTTTTGGGAGTGTGGCTCAAGGGTCATGATTTAATTGGAGTAACTGCCGGAACCCTGACACTCTGCCCTAATGATATCTTCCAACAACCAGTTCACCAAACTGCTTAGAAAGTTAACAACCAGTTCACCTGAAATGGTGTCAACTGGCTGAATCCCACCACTGAATCCCTCCCTACCTGGAGAAGGACAGACTTCAAAAGGAACAAGTTGTTTCCAAAGACCCAAAGAAAAATGACTGGTTCCCTCCCCCTCCTCTGGCATTTCATCGCCCCCCACCCTGAGAATTTTGAGGGTCCCCCAAGAGGGTACACAGAGCTGCCTGTGACTTGAGGGGGGGAATGGGGATTATCTTCAGATTAAAAGTAGGGTTAATTCCCACGTGGAAATGAGAAATCAGGGGGGATGGGGCAGTGGTGGGATTCAAATAATTTAACAATCGGTTCTTCTCCCTAATGATTTCTTCCAACAACCAGTTCACTAAACTGCTCAGAAAGTTAACAACCGGTTCTCCTGAAGTGGTGCGAACTGGATGAATCCCACCACTGGTTGCAGTGTCCTGGGGTCATGTGTTGAGCTTTTGCGAGCTTTTGACAAGCAAAGTCCATGGGGAAGCCAGATTCATTTAACCACCACGCTACTAACCTAACAATTACAATGATTCATTTAAAAACAGTGACAAGAAAAGGCATAAAATAAGGCAAAACCCAACTAAAAATGTTTCACTTAGCAATATAAATGTTGGGCTCAACACCAAGATTGGCAAATTTGCCACTGGCGCCCTGTGCTCTTCACAGATGAAAGTAGGTTCACACGGAGCACATGTGACAGACATGACAGGGTCTGGAAATGCTGTGGAGAACGTTCTGCTGCCTGCAACATCCTCCAGCATGACCGGTTTGGCAGTGGGTCAGTAATGGTGTGGGGTGGCATTTCTTTAGGGAGCCGCACAGCCCTCCATGTGTTCACCAGAGGTAGCCTGACTGCCATTAGGTACCGAGATGAGATCCTCAGACCCCTTATGAGACCATATGCTGGTGCAACCGGTTGGCCCTGGGTTCCTCCTAATGCAAGACAGTGCTAAATTGTGGCTGGAGTGTGTCAGCAGTTCCTGCAAGACAAAGGCAAATATGCTATGGACTGGCCCGCCCGTTCCCCAGACCTGAATCCAATTGAGAACATCTGGGACATCATGTCTCTCTCCATCCACCAACGCCACGTTGCACCACAGACTGTCCAGGAGTTGGGGGATGCTTTAGTCCAGGTGTGGGTGGAGATACCTCAGGAAACCACCCGCCACCTCATCAGGAGCATGCCCTGGTGTTGTAGGGATGTCATATAGGCATGTGGAGGCCACACACACTACTGAGCCTCATTTTGACTTGTTTTAAGGACATTACATCAAAGTTGGATCAGCCTGTAATGTTTTTTTCCACTTTAATTTTGAGTGTAACTCCAAATCCAGACCTCCATGGGTTGCTAAATTTGATTTCTACTGATAATTTTTGTGCGATGTTGTCAGCACATTCAATTAGGTAATGAACAAAGTATTTAATGAGAATATTTCATTCATTCAGATCTAGGATGTCTTTTTTGTGTTCCCTTTATTTTTCTGAGCAGTGTATTTTATGAGTTGACTCATGATTTAACTGGGGTAACTATCCAAGGGCAGTAGCTCTTTTGAATTCTGCTATATAGTGCAGTGTTGGTGCGGTGTCGGGGGTTTCTGGTTCAATGTGTGAAGGGTGAAGGATGTGTGTTTGTGTTTATTTTCATGGCCATGGTCATGATGTGCACTGAAGATGGTGTTTGATTTCGTTGTACAAGGTGCAACAAGTAAAGTAAACTAAACTAAACTGCCAGAATCCTGACACTAGACATACTTCTTTAGAACTGTATACATTTCTAAGTCAGTTTTCCTCAAAAGTTTCCACTATAAACTCCTGACATAAACAATGTCTTGGCATGTCCTTCGATTAATACTTGGATAATGTTTCACTCACATGTCCCACTTCTGAGTCACCAAGAATAGGTTATGTATTCATAAAACGCATGAGCAAATAACATTAGAAATGTTTTTCTTTCCTCCTTCTGAGCGGTAAATAGCTCTGAAGACCATTTTCTTATTTTTGCTTACATGGAGTAGGTTCTAGAACCTGCAATGTTTCATATTGCTCTACCTAAGAATGGGTAGCTTTTGTGATTTTTTTTTCAGAGTGTTGGTTTTTGTGAATCGTGGAATGGAAGAACACAGGGGTGGGCTTCAAACATTTTAGCAAGGGGTTCTCTGCCCAGTTGCTGGGTGGGCGTGGCCTAGTTGGCCTCCTGCACCATGCCCGGGCTCTGGAGGCTTTCCTTGAGCCTCTGGGAGGGCGAAAATGGCCTCCCTGGACTGTGGAGGCCCTCTGGAGGCCAGAAGCGGGCCCATTCCCGGCCTTCCAGAACTTCCGGGAGGGCCATTTTTCACCCTCCCCATGTGTCTGTGCATGCCCTGCACTTACCTGCATCCAAAACAGGCCATGTGGGGACTCCTGGAGTCCTGGTTGGCATGAGAAGGGCCAGCCAGGGGTGGGACTTGGGGGTTCTCCGAACTGCACGGATTCTTAGCTAGGGGCTCTTCCAAACCTCTGTGACTCCCCAGCAGCCCACCCCTGGGAGAACATAACAATGGCTCTGCTGGATCAGGTCAAACTCCATCTTGGTTTCTCACAATGGCCAACCACTTACCTCCAAGATACTTACAACTAAGAATAGAGACATACTTTTCTTTAGGTAGCGTTCCCTGATGCTGTGTATGAACCATGTTGCTCCCACACAGAAGAAGCATCATTTATGGAACACACATAAAAAAATAAACAAGGTGGCAACAATCTTCACTTTTTAAAATAATACCCTGTGAACACCTCTGATAGAGCCCTAGAATTAATATCACTGGAACTATCTTTTTCTCCATGGATTTATTCAGTTTCAAAATCAATGTTATCCAACATTGTTTCTGGAAGATGAGTGAATATGAGAAGAGTTGGTTGAAAATGTCCTCCGTTTCTTCTAGATTTTCCATTGCTTGTTTTGATAGTTATTTCTGTGCATTTTTATTTTACAATATGTTATTTATATCATTTATAGATTTTGTATGGTTTCATATAGTCTTGTCTTTTTAAAATTGCAAGCCACCCAGAGTTAAATAAATGTCAAAAACAAACAGACAAACAAACAAATAAGTATTTTTTTCCCTGGCTATCTAATTTAATCTGAATTTGGTTTTCGAGGACACTGAGTATGCTAGGTTGAAGAGTAAACCTAGCATACTTTATGTTGCATAATTCCCTTGAAATCTGGCAGGGTTTTCTCAAAAATGGAGCTGGGGTTCATAACCATCGACCCGGTTCAATTGGTGGCCGTAACGGGGATTTCCCTACAACTTAATGAAGCTAAGCATGGGTCTTCCTAAAC